CAGTAACCCAATTTAAATGAGCAAGGTGTCTGAATAGACATTTCTCCAAAGAAGATGCACGAATGGCCAGTAAGCACATGGGAAGACGCTCACCATCATTAGCCAGTAGGGAAATGCAGCTCGAAACCCCAGTGAGATCCCACCTCACACCCACTAGGATGGCTGGGATCAAAGAGAGAGAATCACCAGTGGTGGCGAGGACTTGGAGAAGTCACAACCCTCACCCACTGTGCGTGGGAACGTAAAACAGTGCATGTGCTTTGAAAACAATCTGACAGTTCCTCAAACAGTTAAACATAGAGTTACTATGTGACTCAGCAATTCCACTCCATGATATCTACTCAAGAGAAATGAACACATATGTCAACACAAAAACATGTTCATGAGTGTTCATAGCAGCATTATTCATAACAGCCAAAAAGTGGAAACAACTCAAATGTCCGTCAACAGATGACTGGACAAATAAAAGGTGGTCTAGGATAGAATATTAGTTAGCCATTGAAAGGAATGAAATTCTGATATATGCGCCACATGGATGAACTTTGAAAATGTCATACTGAGTGAAAGAAGTCAGACGCAAAAGGTCATATATGGTATGATTTCATTTTATTAAATGTCCAGAATAGGAAAATCTATAGAGATAGAAATCAGATTAGTGATTATCTAAGACTGAGGGTTGGGTGGGAAATGGGGAGTGACTGAAAATGGGTATGGGGTTTGGGGGGATGAAGGTAATGTTGATAGATAGATAGATAGATAGAATTAGTGACAGTTACATAGAAAACTGAGCAACTGGAAAACAATAACTCCAGGAAACACAAAAGTCAGACACTATTTTGCTCAGGAGTTAACAATATTTACATTGTCATTATATTGCGAACACTGCCTAGTCATTTCACCAAAAACAAACCAAAATCACTTTAGAAAGTGACCAAGAGTCAGGAGACGCCACATCCCCTGCTGCTCTTTGGCTCTGGAGGAGCTGCCTTCCCTCATGGACCACTTACCCTGGAGACGGGCACATGATGTGGGACTCCTCTGCCCCGTCTCCACGCAGAGACCAAAAGGGATAACCTGGTGGATGCCCCTCCCTCCCACTCCAGTCTCCTAGTTAGCTGGACAACTAGGAGGACTGTTGTCGAAGACAACAGTCGAAGGACTGTTGTCAAGAACGTGTAAGAAGTTCTCCGTAACGGAGCACTTCGGAAACAGTAATCATCATATCATTACTTCCATTGTCACTACCACTCTACAAGCGAAACAGAAACTCTGGAGCTCCATAGAGCAGGACAGTGGGGACACCTGGTGGCCAGGGAAGTCCCAGACTTTTGCTCCAGCAGGATCAGTGTCCCCAGCTCCTGGCCCCAGCACACTGAGCTGCCTTGAGTGCCCAGCACATGCTCAGTTCAGCCCCAAGGCGTCCTCTGGGCACTCTCACTGCCATCTCCACGCAGAAGCCCCCCCCCCCCCC